TCTGTCTGCTTATATGTCTGTCTATGTCTCTGGTTCTGTGTTTTATCTCTCTCTCAACTTTAGCATTCTCAGGAAGAACGTAATCAACCAGGTAGGGTGTTTGACTGTTATGTTATCCGACTCTCTGTTGTATACATTCCATTTCTAAGTATACTAGATTTGTGTTTCTATTTCATTTATACCTGATGATGATTGCTTGTGTTTGCAATCGAAACGTCGTATGCTATTATTTAATTTATTATTTTCTCTTTTATACGTCACTTTACCGAAAGAACCAAAGAGTAACTCTCAGAAACCTCGTTGGAGAATGACGATGGGATTCAGTGGCTGCAAATGTTGTGGGGTGAACTACCCACCGAGAGCCTTGTAGGCTCATCAATCAGCAGTAGGATCTCGGAGTTCACTTCGGCACTTGACCGCTAAGCCAGCGCAGAGACAAGGGGGTCGTCCATAAATGACGTACACGCGATTTTGGACGATTTTTTGACCCCCCCCCCCTCTCGTCACACGGCGTCACAAAAGTCAGACCCCCCCCCCCTCAAATATGACGTCACAAAGCTCTACCCCCCCCCCCTCCCCCACAAAAAAATAAAAATGCTTCAAATCGTTTAAACTATTGTCATTGTTGTGCGTATTTAATGTGGCGCTGCACTCTGATGTTGTAGGAGAAAACATTTATTAAAAGTCTATTTAATTAAGTAGAACGTGTTGTCTATATTTATTTAAAGTTGCGCATTTTTGATGTGACGTCACATTTCTCAACCCCCCCCCCCCCCTCGTCACACATCGTCACAAATGTCTGACCCCCCCCCCCCCCTAGGAACGTGACGTCCTTTATGGACGGTCCCTGTGGCGTGTAGCAACCCTCGCAGCTGCGTTCTGAACGAGCTGGAGTCGAACCAGCTACCTCACTCGGAAACCGCGTGTCCCCACATTCATGTATTTATAGTTTTAATCTAGGGGCCGTCCATAAATGACGTCACGCACCTAGGTTGGGGGTCAGACATTTGTGACGATGTGTGACGAGAGGGGGGGAGGGTTTGATAAATGTGACGTCACATAAAAATGCGCAACTTTAAATTAATATTGAATTGTCATAACATTTTTTTATTTTTTTCGATTTACATGACTTTACCGAAAGAACCAAGAATATGTCGCAACATTAATTGTTGTAACACCACTAATTCTTATAACACTCCTACAACATCAGAGTGCAGCGCCACATTAAATACGCACTACAATGACAATAGTTTAAAGCAATTTGAAGCTTTTGGGGGGGCAGTTTTTGTGACGTCATATTTGAGGGGTGGGTCTGACTTTTTGTAACGCCGTCTGACGAGGGCGGGAGTCAAAAACCGTCCAAAATCGCGTGACGTCATTTATGGACGGCGCCCCTATCGGCCTATGCGCATGTATCACCCAGAATGCTCCACAACGGCGAGCAACGAATTGCTATCGCACCACTCTCATTGGTCACGCGCCACGCTGACCGTCACAGGAGAGAGCGCGTCGTTTTGCAGCTCGTCACAGCGCATCAGGCACTGAAACGCGACACAACTAAACCCTCACGGCCGGGTCAAAGGGTCTTCCTGCTCTAAAACAACAATGGGGCTCTAGGTGCAAACTCCACATTCTGCCAGCGAGAACCACATAACAAGGTCTCTGAGTACGACGTTTGTGACCCAAGCAGGGGAAGAGAGCGCCAGGTGACCCCACTGGGATTTGTGCTCATAAACTTCAGATTGCGCGTCAAGTGCCCTGACCAGAGTACCATCTGGGCCAGTGGCAAAGATGTTAACTACCTCGCCTGGTATGCAGGGGGCGTGGATTTGATCCCGACCCTGACACTTATTGTATATTTGGAGTTTGCGTGTCCGTCTTCCCGTGGTCGCGTGGATTTTTTCTCCGGGTCCTCCGGTTTTCCTCTCCACATTTAGAATGGATATCACGCGTTTGGCTGGTAAAGCCGCTTCGTTGAGCTATCATTTGTGGGCCAGGTCGGATTCCCAGAAAAAGAGGTTCTGTAGTCTTCTGGTTCTTTCGGTAAAGTCACGTAGAAGGGAAATAATAAAACAATAAAAAATAAACATAATAAAATACAATTCTCACGGCGTTTCGGCTACAACGCAAGCAGCCGTCCTCAGGTGAAGAACACGGCTGTCGGAAAGACAGCGTCTGAATGAACACCACCAAGCTTGGCAGCGTATATTTAAGCTGGGTTAGAGGAGGAGAGCGCCTTGACAAAGGAATTTGCATATCAACAGAATTTTGCATTTGTCAAGGCGCCCTCCTCCTCTAACCCAGCTTAAATATACGCTGCCAAGCTTGGTGGTGTTCATTCAGACGCTGTCTTTCCGACAGCCCTGTTCTTCACCTGAAACGGCTGCTTGCGTTGTGGCCGAAACGTCGTGAGAATTGTATTTTATGTTTTATTTTTATTATTTTATTATTTCCCTTCTACGTGACTTACCGAAAAAAACCAAGAACAATGAATCCCTGCAGTCACGAAAGCTTCAATCGAGAATTCTGTAGCTCAGAGGGCCTTACCTTGTCAAATAGGACAGGCGAGTATGAATGAACGGCCCTAACTGTACATTTGCTCAAGACTCATTTTTCGTCACAGTTGCTTATTCTCCTGCCACCGCTCCAAGTCGGAATTCCTTCCCAACGCCCCTTTGCTCAGAAGCTGATCAATAAATAATAAGTGTACGCTCCTCGTCAAAACACTGTCGCATCTTTCTGCCGTTTGCCGATTTTGTGTCACTTTCAGTGGTCTCTTTAAATCTCTTCCGTCGCTTTTCCCCCCGCGTCACCGCTACGTATAGACCGCTTCAGACGCCACCGCCGGTCCACCGCTGTCAGTAACTCGCGCCCGTTATCCTCGCCAGCGAGTGTCGTGGGTGGCGACGCCCCGCTTGGCACGCTCCCTCCGCAGGTGTACTCCGTTTTTCATATTGTTGCACTTTGTCGTTTTTTTTGTGACCCAGGTCCCCTCTTGCAAATTAGACTCTTTCCTGGACTCTTTCCTGGGCTAAAGAAAACTCCACTTGAACCCTGCAATGTTACAGGCCAGCTACGGTGAAACGAAAGCATCGCAGATTCCGTTTATCCGCGTGTAACTGGGCCTGGATTTACCGCTAACGTGTTTCACCATTTCACATTCAAATCAGTTCGGCAGAAAGCCACCTACGCCGACAATTGCCAATCCGAGCAAGAGGTTGCGCGCTTCATTATTGACGCACCGCCTTCACACGACGGACACCTTTGCTTTCCGCGTGCGACTGCGTGGCACGTTAAACACCGTCAGAACGTTTCAGACAATCACCAACGTCGGGAACGCGGAGTTAATTGTGGAAGTTGAAATGCAATGCAAGGGGAAAGGGTGCCGCGTCCCATCGTCCGCGCACTGCCGCTGCTGTGCGTCTGAGGTGTGCAGTTCCCTCTGGACCGAGACGCAACAAAAAACATGAAATCCCTGCGATTGCTTCCTCGCGGACTTGCTGGGTGGCCTGGGCTGATTGGGTGGCAAGGGTTGATAGTGGGGCAAGGGTTAATTGGCTGGCAATGGGATTGATTGGGTGGCCTGGGTTGATTGGCTGGCATGGGTTGTTGGGTGGCCTGGGTCGATTGGGTGGCATGGTTCGATTGGGTGGCAGGGTTGATTGGGTGGCCTGGGTTGATTGGCGGCATGGTTTTGATTGGCTGGCCTGGGTTGATTGGGTGGCCGGGTTGATTGGGTGGCCTGGGTTGATTGTCTGGCCTGGGTTTGATTGGGTGGCCTGGTTGATTGGGTGGCTGGGGGTCGATTGGGTGGCATGGGTCGATTGGGTGGCAAGGGTTGATTGGGTGGCCTGGGTTGATTGGCTGGCATGGTTGATTGGCTGGCCTGGGTGATTGGGTGGCCTGGGGTTGATTGGGTGGCCTGGGTTGATTGTCTGGCCTGGGTTGATTGGGTGGCCTGGGTTGATTGGGTGGCCTGGGTCGATTGGGTGCTGGGTTGATTGGGTGGCCTGGGTTGATTGGGTGGCCTGGGTTGATTGCTGGCCTGGGTTGATTGGGTGGCCTGGTGTTGATTGGGTGCTGGCCTGGGTTGATTGTCTGGCCTGGGTTGATTGGGTGGCCTGGGTTGATTGGGTGGCATGGGTTGATTGGGTGGCCTGGGTCGATTGGGTGGCATGGGTCGATTGGGTTGGCATGGGTTGATTGGCTGGAAGGGTTGAGTGGGTGGCCCTGGGTTGATTGGGTGGCAATGGTTGATTGGCTGGTATGGTTTGATTGGCTGGCCTGGGTTTGATGGGTGGCCTGGGTTGATTGGGTGGCCTGGGTTGATTGGGTTGGGCAAGGGTTTGATTGGTGGCCTGGGTTGATTGTGTGGCCTGGGTTGATTGGGTGGCATGGGTTGATTGTCTGGCCTGGCTTGATTGGGTGGCCTGGGTTTATTGGGTGGCCGGGTTGATTGGGGTGCCTGGTTGATTGGGTGGCAAGGTTGAATTGGGTGGCTGGGTTGATTGGGTGGCATGGGTTGATTGGGTTGGCATGGGTTGATGGGTGGCGAGGGTTGTGTGGCAGGGGTTGATTGGGTGGCATGGGTTGATTGGCTGGCCTGGGTTGATTGGGTGGCAAGGGTTGATGGTGTGGCAGGGGTTTATTGGGTGGCAAGGGTTGATTGGGCGGCAAGGGTTGAGGTGGGTGGCCTGGGTTAATTGGCTGGCAAGGGTTGATTCGCTGGCAAGGGTTTATTTGGGTGGCAAGGTTGATTGGGCGGCAAGGGTTTATGGACGGCAAGGTTGATGGTGGTGGCAGGGTTGATTGGCTGGCCTGGGTTGATTGGGTGGCCTGGGTTGAATTGGCTGGCCTGGGTTGATTGGGTGACATGGGTTAATTGGGTGGCATGGGTTGATTGGGTGGCTTGGTTGATTGGGTTGATTGGCTGGCCTGGGTTGATTGGGTGGCAAGGATTGATTGGCTGGCCTGGGTTGATTGGGTGGCCTGGGTTGATTGGGTTGATTGGCTGGCCTGGGTTGATTGGGTGACATGGGTTGATTGGGTGACATGTGGTTGATTGGGTGACACAGTTTCACCCCAGGGAAGTTGAACCTGCGCCGTGCTGTTGGCTGCGGAGACAAAAGATTAACTCGGCAAGGTTTCAATATGTTTTCGGATAAAAAAAGAAAAGACTCGAAACGCACACACGGAGTCCTCTGTAGCTGTAATGCGGCTCTTAAAACGAAACGGACCGTGGTGTGTGTGCGTGCGGATAGCGACAAGAGTCTCATCCGCAGCTCTGCTGAGTAGCGCGGATGGCACCTTACCCTCGTGCGTTGGCGACGACGTCCTCTGAGTTGGGCCTCGAGTGGGGCTGCCTTGGCGAGGTGTCTCCCCCACGCTGTGGTTGCTACTCTGCGTTGCGTTGGAGGTCTCTGTGAATGAAAGACGCCACGGCCGCTTTATCCATTGTGAGAGAAGGCACCGTTCTACTCCTGGATCAATATTACCGGTCAGAGTCACAAGCCAAAGCATCTCCCACTCAACATCGGCGTTTAGCTATGCTCATCACTTTACAGCTCTAGGCCAACTGTGAATATTCCACATTCCTATGGTGAGGCCGTGGAATCCACCTCCCAACTCAAAGTCAGATCTCCATATACTTCCCACAAACGGTTACTCATTTGTTGACGCCAGTGTGATGATGATGATGATGGCTGAGTTGAACCTCTGGCTGATATTTTGCTCAGGAGTTATTTTCATCTCGAATCTGGCTGTTGTGCTGAGAAAGGTCTCCACGGATGACGTGTAACACCTGGGTGCCAGAGGCCAGTGCGACTCAGCATTGTTTGTTTAATATGCCGGGCACTGCCGATGGGACCACTTTAACACCTCGTAGGAGACCTTTAGTGACCAATATCCACCATAATAGAGTTTTTTTTGGGTTAGATCGCGTAAATATAAACGTGTCGTTAAACCCGCCACCACCCGACACAGACAACTAGTAAGGTTTATCATGTAAACAGAACGTGGCCAATTCGTCACGAGTACAGCAACACAGTGTGTTAGAAAGCAAAGCCACAACATTTACAATCTGAGTACCACAACATTTACAATCTGTACTCGTATTCATATTTACGCAATCTAACCCAAGACACCTGTATTGTGGAGTGGTGAAACCAGCATACAGCTTGCATACAAAAAAATCCTCCTGGACAATATTGGTCCCAAAGCCCATAGGTTGTAGAATAATGTTTTATTTTGACTTTCGGACGGAAGGACGGACGTGGGTTCATTGATTTAACGTCTGCTTGCGAGTGCTGTGCGTAGCCAAAACACCACCCAGTTTGAGATGGAAGCGGTCTTGCTGCAGCTTACGCCCTTGCCTGGCATCTAACCCGACTCCATCAACCCGCGTCTGCTGGTGAAGCCCTCGGTCAAACTCCACTCAATAAAAACCCCTTCTCCTCTGCTGTCCCTACAGTCTAGAACCCTGTTCCGCCAGTCACCCGCACTGCCGACTTCACCGCTAGGCCCAGGCTCAAGAGCTTCCCCTTCTATTCCGTCTTAAAGTGGACGCGGCTTCTCTCGTCACACGCACGCACACACACGCCTCGCTCCTCTGCACCGTCCCCGTGGGTGCGTGCGTGTGTGCGTGTGTGTGTGTGCGTGTGTGCGTGCGTGTGTGCGTGTGTGTGCATGTGTGTGTGTGCATGTGTGTGTGCGTGCGTGTGCATGTGTGTGTGCGTGTGTGCGTGAGTGCGTGCGTGTGCATGTGTGCGTGCGTGTGTGTGTGCGTGTATGTGTGTGCGTGCGTGTGTGAGTGCATGAGTGCGTGCGTGTGCATGTGTGCGTGTATGTGTGTGCGTGTGTGTGGTGCGTGCGTGTGTGTGTGCGTGCGTGTGCGTGCGTGCGTGTGCGTACGTGTGTGTGCGTGCGTGTGTGTGCGTGTGTGTGTGTGCGTGTGTGGTGTGTGTGCGCGTGCGTCCGTGCGTGCATGTGCGTGCATGTGTGTGTGTGTGCGTGCCTGTGCGTGCGTGCATGTGCGTGCATGTGTGTGTGCGTGTGTGTGCCTGTGTGAGTGCGTGTGTGTGCGTGCGTGTGTGTGCGTGGGTGTGTGCCGTGCGTGCGTGTGTGTGTGCGTGCGTGCGTGCGTCCCGCGAGGTTCGAAGCCCACGCGCGTTCTGAAAGGTGGAGGATTTAACGGCGGTTTCTCACGCTCGCAGCGCGGAGCTGTCGACGACCATTTCTTCGTGGCTGGGTCACAGGTCAGCTTGCTGGCTCCGCGCAAGGTGAAGCTGCAGAAGAAGTGAAACAACTCGTCGGACGATGCTCCTGCTGCTGCTGCTACGTCGGCAGCGGTGCACAAGCACGGACAACGAATCGAAGGCTCAGTCCGCGCGTTCGCTCTTCCTCTCCTCTCGCCCCCCTTCAGCGGAACCAACTTCCCCTCCACACGAAGCAGTCACCTTCGCTCGCTCCTGTCCACTCCCCACTCAGAACTCACACTTAGTGTTCACAACTCACCCCCACGACCGACCCCCCCCCCCCCCCCCTTAATCTCCCCCTCATAACCACCACCACCACTGCCACTGTTCCCACTTAATATTATCATGACTCGGCTAACACTCATTCATTCAATCCATTCATCATCATCTGCTGTCATCAATTTCGCTTTCACCAACTTCACGCGTCACAGATTCGCCGCCATTGCTTCCTCCCATCTATTTCATTCGCCCTCTTCTCCTCCGTTACGTTCACGCGCATTGCACCGTTGCTAAGTCTCTGTAAAGCGCCTTGGTTAAGGCACTCTCGAAAAAACGTTGAGATAAGAAACGTTTAACACGTCGGCTTTCGCAACCAATAGGATCCATTATATAGGCGTTTTGTGTGAGATCGCGCGAATATAAATGAAGAAGATGAATCCCTGCAGTCACGAAAGCTTTAACTCGAAATATAAATGTTGTCGTTAAACCCGCCACCACCCGACACAGCCAATTAGTAAGGTTTGCCACGTAAACAGAACGTGCCAAATTCGTTACTAGTACAGCACACGGGTGTGTTGAAGAGTAACCCCACTACAACATTTACAATTCGTTTGCTCGCCAACACAGTGTCGTCGTGGAGAATACAAGTTAGAAAATGCATAAGCAGTCAAACACATCTCTGCGCAAGTCGATGAGGTACAACAAGGGGCACGGGCGCATCACTCACTCACTGTTTTTGACACGAGAACTCGATGGAGCCCCCGAGAGCGATGTTTCCGCTCCAGAATCCGTGCTCAACTTCCCCGGGCGCATAGCACAGTTCGGCTGGTGGGTCAAGATGCATAGAAAAAAGAAAACGGTGCTCAATCTCGATTTGAAGCTTTCGCGACTGCAGGAATCCATACTCTTCTTTCGGTAAAGTCACGTGGGTAGAAAAATAATAGATCACGACGTTTCAATTGCAACGCAGGCAATCGTCATCAGGTGGGACAACCACAGCAAGAAACAACTGCTGAAGTAGGCGAGAGATCTGCCGTGGCACGAGGTTATATAGTAGGCCTCGGCAGTGGGGGGAGAGGGGGCGGGGCAGAAAGTGGTCACGAAAATAATAACTGGCTTTATTTTTTACTGTCGCCGTGAGCTAGCGAGGATCTTTCACTTTTTGCTGACTGCCCTGAAATACGCCGCAAAAACAATCGTGAGCCATCCAATGGCGGAGCCAGGATCTTCAGGTAGGAGGGGGGTGCAACCCCTCCAGCAATGAAAAATGATAGAGGAGTTGTTAGTGAGTAAGGACTTGTCCCTTGCTTTATATTCGATGCGTGTGACGGCGATGGCGCAGCATCGATCGAGGGTCGAATTCGAACCGCGTTGTGTGATCGGCATCGCGCTCGCTGAAGGTGTTGATGCCTCCAGGGAAGTCGTGGACTGTAGACGCAACTGCGCACATTCCGTGAGTCACTTATAACCGCTTTGACGTTACTTATTGCAATTATGCACTCAGACTATTGTCCTATCATCTCATCGAGTCCCTGGCACGTCATAATTATGCTACACAGGGGGCAGTGGGGGTCGCAAATGCCGATTTATTACTAATAAACCCCAATGATCCGATGGAAATTATGAATTTTGATCGGATCATTGGGGGGGGGGGTGCCACCTCCCACTGGCGTCATCGTTGTTGTGGCCAATATAAGTAGCAGAATTAAGGAACCAGACCTGATGAGACATTGAAAGTTGAAAGCGGTCCCGGCATTTGATTGTGTTGAAGCAATGCTGCAGAAGTTACGCACACACACATGGACGTGTGGCTGGTGACCTCTGATAACCAAAAGTACTTTTACCCTGTGTCGAGGTAAAGATACAGGGAATGGGAGCGTCTCGTCCACTTATTAAAATATACTGCAGAGGACGGGTGGGGGTGGCGTGCTCGGCGATGTCACCCGGTGGCACGCCGTTGGTGCGATGTGCCATCGGCATTGGAAGGAATCTGAACAACCGGTGGACTCGGTGATTTCGCAAAATTCCCGTCGACCGAAATTCCGGCACCGTCGTTTCCTCCACGCGACAGTCAAACAGCCACCGCCGCCACCCACCGCCGCCGCCACCCGCCGCCACCCACTGCCACCACCACCGCCACCACCACTACCTGCCGCCACCGCCGCCCGCCCGCTCACCCGCTCACCACCGCCACCCGCCACCACGCCACCACCGCCACCGCCCACCCTACCACCTGCCACCACCGCCAACACCGGCCCACCGCCGACCCTACCACCACTGCCAACCCCCCCCCCCCCCCCACCGCACCGCAACCACCGCCCACCACCGCCACCGGCTACCACCGCCACCACTGCGCCGCCACCACCACACACGCCACCGCTACCGCCTACCACCGCCCACCACCACCACCACCACCACCGCCGCCCCCACCCGCCACCCACACCCCACCAACTGCACACCCACCACCACCGCCACCGCCCGCCACCGCCACCCACCGCCAACGACTACCACCGCCACCACCGCCCCACCGCCACCGCCGCCACTGCCACCACCACCGCCGCCACCGCCGCCACTGCTGCCACCACCACCACCACCACCACCTTCGCCACCACCACCGCCACCATTCCGCCACCGCTGCGCACAGTTGCGCCACACGCGCCACCGGCATCGCGTGACACGTGTCCGCGCGTGCGCGAGGTGCCGCACGGGAGCGTACTCACGTGTGCACCCGAGGTAACTGTCACGGACCACGCGGCTGCGCCACTGCCGTCTTTCTCGCACGACATGTAGTATCCGCCGGCGAGGCTCTTGAAGCGATCGTCGCAAGCGACGTAGACGTACTCGTGGACGTCGTATCGGCGGCCGTGGACGTGCCCGGCGGGAATCTTCACCTTGGCGTGAGGTTGGTCAGGAGGCGGGCCGCACACGGATGCTGACGGGGAGAAAAAATTGTTGCAAGAAACACAAATTGCAAAAAGTGTGGGTTTTTAATCGCGCGCATTTCAACGTTCAACTCGGGATCAATTTCCCGCCCCTCCGATGAGCACAGTTGGCTACGTACGGTGTGAAAGAAGTTCAACGTACGTACGTTCAATTGCCACCCTAGACACGGCATCAGAATCTTTATTTAGACTGTGGGAAAAATTCGAGGAGCTATGAAGCACTTTTTCACAGATGTCCAGTAGAGGCACGTGGTCAGAAAGTTTTTTTATTTTTGCGTAGAAAGGTCAGCTGGCTTTTTGCATACGGAATTAATCCAGATGAGACATTCATCAAAATGTATTCGCATATAATATATACAGCTAGCTAGTTGTGAGGTATGTAAAGTCTAAATACGCCATAAAAAGGTTATAGAGATGAGATTCTGTACAAAACATAGTTGAGTCTGCTCATAATTGAAACATTCTAGAACAATAGACCCTCTAAAGAGTGGAATACTGCATGTGTGTCCGTATGTAGAAATTCTCTCGCACTGATTGGCCTGCACTGGCCTGGTGCCACCAGTGGCAGTCAGGACAGAGAACGCGACAATTATCAGAGAATGTTTGTTTGCACGGTCACCACAAGCACTGTGTGCGGTTAATTCAGACATGATTCGTTGCACAAAGGTTTCTATTTGGTGTTAGAACATTACAATATTTATTTCAATACTTGTTCTATTGCCAGAAATAGTAAAAACCTATCTTATTTTGTATATTCTTCGCACCGTACATAGTCAAACCGTGCTGATCCATGACCTTTGGGGCCGTCATAAATGACGTCACGCCATTTAAGACGATTTTTGACCCTCCCCCCTCGACACACGGCGTCACAAAAAATCAGACCCCCCTCCCCTCAAATATGACGTCGCAAAGCTCTGCCCCCCCCCCCCCAAATATAAAACATGCTTCAAATGGCTTTAAACTATTGTCATTGTAGTGCGTATTTAATGTGGCGCCTGCACTCTGATGTTGTAGGAGAAAACATTTATTAAAAAGTCTATTTAATTAAGTAGAACGTGTTGTCTATATTTATGTAAAGTTGCGCATTTTGATGTGACGTCACATTTCTCAACCCCCCCCCCCTCGTCACACATCGTCACAAATGTCTGACCCGCCCCCCCTAGGTGCGTGACGTCATTTATGGACGGCCCCTTTACGTCAGATTGGTTGTTCTGTGAGGTCATGACACCGATTTAAGAAGCCAGGTCAGGTGACATTCTGACTTCCTAGATCTTGTTCTAAATACAACCTTTGCATAGTTTTGAGTGAACCATCATATCTCGTTGCTACATCTGGCTATGAGAATTGTTCGTCAACTTACAATAATGACAATAATAATTGGCCCTTTAAACACTTGCCGCGCATGACTAATTACTTTGGCTATGCGCCGGTTGGTGGAGGGTTTCACGACATAGATTTTGCCAGGTCACTATATGTGGCGTTACCAGAAAATTAAATCAAAAGTGAAATAATTGATATTGAAGATTTTGTTAAATTACACATCTGTGTCAATAAAAAGTAAGAACAAAAACATTCACATTAGATGACAAAGAAGCTGTCCGATATTCGGAAGCCACTGGAGCTATGCACTTTAAGTCATCTAGATTGAAAAATGTATTTCTTTAAAACTGCTTTTTGTCCCATTGGAACCTCATTTGTCAGTAAAAAATATAATAATTGGTTTTTTTACCCTTTTTATCTGGCAACAAAACTGACATCTTTTTGTTTTACAAGGAGTCATGTTTGCATCACATGGTCCAACACCATGTGAGACTAGGCTCTAAGGAAAGCTGTCTCGGGTGTGGACCAATCAACTTCTAAGGACAGTGCATACATCAGAGTTATGTTTTTTTGTTTGCATTATGACTGCAGGTATTGTGGTCTATGCAAACATGATTCCTTGTAAAAAAGGGTGTCAGTTTTGTTGCCAGTGAAAAGGGTTGTTGTAAAAAAACAATTATACTGCTTTTGTGTTTAGTTTCTTGTCCTTCCCCTGACGCCTCCGTTATATTATCACGAACGGTGCACAAAAGGAGTTTAACATACAACGCATTCCACATACGTGTAGGACCTGGAATACACGCGCCACGCGCTCTGTGGGTCTGTTGCTAAGTAGACAAGCAAGTGTACAGTGGGGGGTATTTGAGGACGATGTTGTTGTTGCTGATGGCGTGAGAAGAGACGCTGTTAAGGGGCGTAAACAGGTGTTAAGGGCAACCGGGGCCACAGGCCAGTTGATTGGTTAAGAGGGTGAGTGATTAACAAGTGGCGCCGCTCTGGCGGCAATAACAAAGTCACGTGAGGCGGGGGCCTGGGGCCGAGGGTGAGATAATTAATAGGGAATAATTGATGCGGTGGATAAAAGCACAGCGCAACAGAGAGACGAGAGCTTTTGGGGGAAGTCTTGGTTGAGTCTTGGTGAAGCTGGAGCGATGGGGAGCTGGAGGGATGGGCCCGGAATAGCGGAGAGCAGGAATAAGAGAATACGATACGGTAGCAGTGGGAAGGAGAGAGATAGGTCAAGTACGGTAGCAGCGGATAGAGGAGACAGAGTGAGGGGTAGCATGGTACAGTGCATCAGAGAAGATACGGAACAGGGTAGCAGCGGAGCGACGGACCCTGGGAGAGCTGTAGAGAGAACGGAGGGGACATAGAGTGTCGTTGATGGCGGATGGCATGGCGGAGCGAACGGGTGGCCATGGAGCGGTGATGAGGAGAAGGGTGTGGACCTTAAGGAGCAATAAACGGGACGAGAAAGACAATCCGAGTACGAGTCCTACATACGTACAACTGAAGCCAGAATGTGCGTCGTGAATTTAAGGGCCCATGTTGGCCTGCCGAAAACGTACCCTTTCTTTCACCTACGAGCGTTTAGGACAATGAACTTTGTGCCAGTGGACATCCCTCGCCAATCATCCGCTGCGGTCACTTACGGTTGCACCACTTGTGGTCCACGTCCCAAGCCATCAGGTCACCCTTTCTTCTGCAGTACAAGTCAAACCCATCTGACGGAGACTTGTAGTCCTCGTCGCAGTCAAGTGGAACCGTCTGGTTTTCGAAGTACTGCTGTTGTTGTCATAGCTGGAGAAAGCTTCGCGTGAGGCTGTGGAGGTGGTGGTTTGCTGCCGAACGCTGAAGAGACGGAGACACGCAATCGTGGGATCACTTTCCACGCCCCGGTACGAAACCAAACGTTGTGACAGTCTGAAGGACAGTTTAGCCTGTCGTCGTACGCGGTTCGTGGTGCTTGGGGCTTACAGGAACGGGCATTATTGGAAGTGAACCGAAGTGAAGGAGACAGAAGGGGCGCTACTCACGTTTACATGCGGGGGGCGATGATAAACCACCGTCGATTGTAGAGGCAGACCAGAGTTCTGTTGCCCTGCAGCGTGAAACTAACACGACGGGCGTAACACAGTCATCGTTCAGAGGCTGTGCGGAACGAACAACGAGCCGAGCGTGTGTGCACCGAGCATTCCACTCACTGCTCGTCGCACGAGTAGGTGATGCTGCTGCCTGTGGTGACGTTCCCCTCCCACTTCCCGTTGGGAATCTTATCAGGGCGCTCGCCTTCCTCACCTGGTGAACAGAACGGAGAAGCGGGAGTGCCACCGGGTTCTTGACGCACTCACGTGCACTCAACGTGATGTGAGTCTTTGCGTATGTTGAACTTCTTTAGCATGGTGCGTAGCCAACCGTGCTAATCGGAGGCGCGATGCAGTCGTGCGATGCGATGTCACTGCGATGCAGTCGTGCGATGCGATGTCACTGGGGGGCTCAATGAGGTCGGAGAGAATTACGGTGACTCTTCTCCGCTGAGCTGTGGCTCGCATGAAGGTCAGCTGGATATGCAACTCTTGCACACGTTACTTTGTTGACATCTTCAATACTGATCAATAGACATTACTTTAATATGGCAACGTATAAAATAACTACATTGCTGATATTATGTATCGTCTAATTATTCAAAAAACGTCACACATTCACTCAGAAACCGCAACCATCTCGTTGCCGACAGTTGACACTGTGATCCAATCAAGACCTTGCGATGTCAACCAATCACAACCCTGTTGAGTGGGCAGCAGTAGAAACGTGATGCTGAGCAATGTTGCAAGTTGCAGCCCGTGACGCAACTCTCTCTGCACCGTGTTGCAGCCCACGATGAATGGAAAGACGTAAACTTTATGTAAGCTCCCGCAATGTAGCGCTGTATCATTTAAATGTCAATGCCAGAGTGGACGTCCCTCGCCAATCCATCCGCTGCGTCACTTACGGTTGCACCGCTTGTGGTCCGCATCCCAAGCCATCATGTCACCCTTTCTTCTGCAGTACAAGTCAAACCCATCTGACGGAGACTTGTAGTCCTCGTCGCAGTCAAAGTGGACCGTCTGGTTTTCGAAGTACTGCTGTTTGTCGTCGTTCACTGGAGAAAACTTCGCGTGGGGCTGTGAAGGTGGTTTGCCGCAGAACGCTGAAGAGACGGAGACACGCAATCGTGGGATCACTTTCCATGCCTCCGATACGAAACCAAACAGGAGCCATATTCTTAGGTTTTTTCGATCAAGTAACGTAGGAAAAAAATGAAAATTAATTAAAGTAAAAAAAATAAAATAAAAATCACGACGTTTCGGAGGCAACACAAGCTTCTGTCTGCAGGTGGCTGTGACGGTTCCACCTGAAGACGGAAGCTTGTGTTGCCTCCGAAACGTCGTGATTTTTATTTGATTTTTATTTTACTTTTATTAATTTAAATTTTTTACCTACGTGACTTTACCGAAAAAAACTAGAATATGAATCCTTGCAGTCACGAAAGCTTCAAATCTAGAAACAAACAGGGGCCATCCATTGAGTAGGCACGCAAAGATCTGTCAAAACTTGACCCATCCCCCCCTTCCTGTACGCACGCGGACTTATTACACCCCACCCCCCCACCTGCGTATGTTCGCCTGACGCCCCCCCCCCCCCCCGAATCCTATAGAACGGCCGATATTTAATCCACGCAGAAACGACCAAGGATTAATAATATTCACGTGTTTAAGCAAACAGTTAGTCCACCGCCCGGACTTTCTAACTCATTTGAAGGCCAATGTCTACAAATTATTGTCGAGGCTTCACCCCCCCTCCCCACTCCATGCCTACGTACTGAATGGCTGGCCCCCAATTGTGAACGTATTGAAGGACAGTTAGCCTGGTCGTCGAACGCGAGTTCGTGGTACTTGGGGCTTACAGGAACGGGGTTATTGGAAGTGAACCGAAGTGAAAGAGAGCTACTCACGTTTACATGCGGGGGGCGATGATGACCACTGATGATTGTAGAGGCAAACCAGAGTTCTGTTGCCCTGCAGCCTGAAACTAAACACGACGAGCGAACACAGTCATCGTTCAGAGGCGTGCGGAACGAACGACGGAGCCGAGCGTGTGTGCACCGAGCGTTCCACTCACTGCTCGTCGCACGAGTAGGTGATGCTGCTGCCAGTGGTGACGTTCCCCTCCCACTTGCCGTTGGGAATCTGATCAGGGCGCTCGCATTCCTCACCTGTGAACAGAACGAGAGAAGCGTGGATGCTATCGGGTTCTTGACGCACTCACGTGCACTCAACGTGATGCGTGCGTGGATGTATGTTGAACTTCTTTCACACCGTACGTAGCCAACCGTGCAGTGCCGGATTATCGTAGTAGCAAAAGTAGCTACATATGTAGAAGCTACACTTGTCGTAGCTACTACACGTGTAGTAGCTACTACACGTGTAGTAGCTACTACACGTGTAGTTAGCGGCACATGTAGTAGCCGCACGTGTAGTAGCTACAACACGTGTAGTAGCTACAACATGTGTAGTAGCTGCACGTGTTGTAGCTACGGGCCCCGCACTTTCAAGGGCCCCGCGCTAAACCGCTTTCAAGCTATCAATTCCGGTTCAGTGATTCTGCACTTGCTTTATTACTATAGCACTATACCGCCTTCAACTTTTACGAACGACTGGGTGTTTCAGGTTAGCGATTTGTCGTAATATCTGGCTGTATAGCAAATGAAAAAATACAATTGCTTTACTATGTAAGTTAAAATGTTGTGTTTTCATATTTACGTGTTTTTATTTATTTAGGGCCCCTTTATAACATATGCTACAGGCCCCGCACTAGCTGAATCCGGCACAGCAACCATGCTAATCAGAGGTGTGATGCAGTCGTGCCATGCGATGTCACTGCGGGGGGCTCAATGAGGTCGGAGAGAATTACGGTGACTCTTCTCCGCTGAGCTGTGGCTCGCATGAAGGTCAGCTGGATATGCAACTCTTACACACGTTACTTTGTTGATATCTTCAAATACTGAACAATACATTGCTTTAATATGGCAAGGTATAAAACAACTACATTGCTGATATTATGTATTGTTTAATTATTCAAAAATCTCACACATTCATTCAGAAAACTGCACCATCTCGTTGCCGACAGTTGCCACTGTGATCCTATCAAGACCTTGCGATGTCAACAAATCACGACCCTGTTGATTGATCAGCAGTAAAAGCGTAATGCTGAACAATGTTGCAAGTTGCAGCCCGTGATGCAACTCCCTTTGCACCGTGTTGCAGCCCACGATGAATGGAAGAACCGAGACGTCAACTTGATTTAAGCTCCCGCAATGTAGCGCTGGAGCATTGAAATGTCAATGCCAGAGTGGACGTCCCTCGCCAATCCATCCGCTGCGTCACTTACGATTGCACCGCCGGTGATCCGTGTCCCAAGTCGTTCGGCCACCCTCTTGCTTGCAGGTCAGGTAAAAGCCAGGTGAGGGAGACCTGTAGTACTCGTCGCAGTAGAAGTACGCGTACTGATCTACGCGGTAGAGTTCCCTGCGGTCGTAAGCTATGGCAAGCTGTGCGTGACGCTGTGGAGGTGGTTTTCCGCAGAACGCTGAAGGGACGAAGAAATAGAATCATGGTTGCACGTTTCACTCCTCCTGATAATATCATTCAAAACCAAACCGTTGGAAATGTACTGCAGTTAATGTTCAGAACAACAGTTTGGCCCGTATTCGTAAATGAGTTCATGATTCATCTTCTTGGTTCTTTCGGTAAATTCACGTAGAAGGGAAATAATAATAATAAAAATAAAACATAATAAAATCATTCTCACGACCGAAAGAACCAAGAAGATGAATCCCTGCAGTCACGAAAGCTTTAAATCGAGTTCATGGTTATTTGCACAAATAGGAAAGTGGTGCATGTGAAGTGAGAAAGACCCTGTAAAGGAGACGGGATAGAGAGAGAGTGAGTAACTCACGGTCGCACGCAGGAGGCAGGAACGACCACTCCTTAGTCTCTAGGCAGGTGAGCGTGCTCTCGCCCTCCAGTCTGAAACTAAAACAACAACATTGTTGGAAGCTAATTTACCAAACACAATACCGCATACACTAGCGACCGGTCTTGTTTTTACAAGATAAATATATCGTCAGACATGAAGCATAGCTTGCCTTAGCAATTTTTTCCATGCGAATGGATAATGCTTAAAGTCTTCTTGGTTCTTTCGGCAAAGTCGCGTAGAATGAAAATAATAAAATAATAAAAATAAAACATAATAAAATAATTCTCACGACGTTTCGGTTTTATGTTTTATTTTTATTATTTTATTATTTCCATTCTACGTGACTTTACCGAAAGAACCAAGACGATGAATCCCTGCAGTCACGAAAGCTTTACATCAGAATGTAATGCTAAAAGTCTTACGACATATTCAGTTTGCAAGCACAGAGAGTCAGCTGGTAAATATCGCGATTGTGAATTAACTTAGGGTGACAGCTCGTCTAGCATGGCCTGACATGTTCGCACCGCTTTCAACAACCACGGCGCATTTTAGAGTGTCCATAAATGACCTCAACTCAGATGTACATATGTGTGTATGTATGATGTATGTTGAACTTCTTTCACACCGTACGTAGCCGACCGTGCTCATTAGATGTGCGCGGAGGACAACAAATCTGGCGGTGACGGTCCCACCTGATGACGGAGACTTGTGTTGCCTCCGAAACGTCGTGATTTTGATTTTATTTTCTATTAATTTTAATTTCATTTTTTACCTACGTGACTTTACCGAAAGAACTAAGAGTAAGGACAACAAACCTTCGGCTGAGCTTTTGCTTTGATTGGCCCAAGGCTCAGCAACCAAAACAACGAGAAGAGACAAATTTTTGTTGCGAATTCGGTAACAAAACGAACTCAATAATTCAAGATCCGCAACGCACTATGGGGTGAATACAAGATGGCGGGTCACGGAGCTGCAGGTTGACGACCCCCTGGACTCGAGGAAACGACCACGAGCGGCAGCAAACGTTTTGTACGATCCACGCCTCTACGAAGACAAGTCCCTCCCGGAGTGCTACGCTCTCGGTATTGCCCGGGCCATCGCACGGGTGAGGGCACGAGTGATTTGGGATCGTTGACAAAAATTTCCCCCTGTGTGGATAAGAGCGAGGGATCCGCAAGCGGCACCGACATCTTCCTGCGAACGGGGCGGTGTCACGGAAGTGCCAGCGCGTTCTTCACGTTGTTTCAATATTTAACTGGGGTTGGTCTCCCAAAAATTGTAAAGCAAGTGCAATTCTGATAATTGGTTTTTTATCCTTCTATCTGGCAACAAAACTGACACCTTTTTTACAAGGAGTCATGTTTGCATAGACCACAATACCTGTAGTCATAATGCAAACAAAAAACATAACTCTGATAATGTATGTACTGTCCTTGAAGTTGATTGGTCCACACCCGAGACAGCTTTCCTTAGAGCCTAGTCTCACATGGGTTGGACCAGATGACGCCAAAAGGCACACAACTCATTAGAGTATGAGAGCTCGGGGTAAGCATTTACACCACTGGAACCTCATTTGCCAGTAAAAAAAATTATAATTGGTTGTGCGCCTTTTGGCGTCATCTGGTCCAACCCATGTGAGACTAGGCTCTAAGGAAAGCTGTCTCGGGTGTGGACCAATCAACTTCAAGGACAGTACATACATTATCAGAGTTATGTTTTTTGTTTGCATTATGACTACAGGTATTGTGGTCTATGCAAACATGACTCCTTGTAAAAAAGGTGTCAGTTTTGTTGCCAGATAGAAGGGTAAAAAAAGAATTATCATATTTTTTACTGGCAAATGAGGTTCCAATGGTGTAAATGCAATTCTATTCATCCATACTCATCCGCGGGTTATAGCTCAGATAGACTGCGTCAAATTTGAATAAACGAACAAGGTCACGAAAAACCGCCCATGTAGAAACCCCTACGAATCCGGATAAAGGGAGTTTCGCTGCACGACTGGCTGAATATTTTGCAAAGCAATGCTTCGCGCACTGCGAATTCAAAGCAGTTCCACTCACTGCTCGTCGCACGAGTAGGTGATGCTGCTGCCAATGGTGACGTTCCCCTCCCACTTCCCGTTGGGAATCTGATCAGGGCGCGCGCATTCCTCACCTGTGAACAGAACGAGAGAAGCGTGGATGCTACCGGGTTCTTGACGCACTCACGTGCACTCAATGCGATGTGTGCATGCTGAGCGTCTTTCGCACCGTACGTAGCCAACCGTGCTAATCGGAGGCGCGATGCAGTCGTGCGATGTGATGGCACTTCGGGGGGCTCATTGAGGTCGGAGAGAGTTACGGTGACTCTTCTCCGCTGAGCTGCGGCACGCATAAAGGTGAGCTGGATATGCGACTCTTCCACACGTTACTTTGTTGATGCCTTCAAATGCAGCACAGCAACGTATATGAAACACTGCAAATACGATGCACCTATATTTAAAGTGGTGGCATGGAATGGAGCCTTTCTCGTCAATCATGGCCCATATATAAGCATAAATACAGTACAAATTTAGATCTAAAGCTTTCGTGACTGCAGGGATTCATCTTCTTGGTTCTATTATTATTTCCCTTCTACGTGATTTTACCGAAAGAACCAAGAAGATAAATACAGTACAGTTGTTTCTTTGCTGCAAGGACTTGGTGGTAAACTAAAATCTATTCTTTTATTTTTCCCAGGTAAGGCCCCACTGAGCTGTGTGGCTGTTTTTCAGAAGCGACCTGGCTGCCACAAATGATAGCTCAACGAAGTGGCTTATCGTGTGTAAATGTAAAGCAGCCAAATGCTCTAAACGCACGTTTCTAAACGTGGAGGGAAAACCGGAGGACCCTGGAGAAAAATACACACGACCACGGGGAAAGAAACATGTGATCGAACCCACGACCTCTTGTATATCAGGCGAGGTTGTTAACATCTCGCCACCGATATGTAGAGTGGTATAATGCTGTGATTCATGCGTTTCAGGTGCTCCATCCAGGACTGTAATCGATTCCTCTGGTGATGAATGTATCGACATTAATGGTTAATTTCAGTATATTTAATTACTATATTGCATATCTTAAATTATGTAAACTACTCACCCGAAAATGTTGGCCTACTCGTGTGGCTAGTTTGACCCATGGGCTACACCCATTTCAAACCTTTAAAACATCCTGCCTCAGCAGCTTTCCCACTAATTTTTCTCCTGATGACGATTGCTTGTGTTGCGATCGAAACGTCGTAGTTTTTGTTTGTTTGTTATTTTTTGTTATTTTCTTTCAACCTATCTACGTGACTTTACCGAAAGACCCAAGAATATGAATTCCTGCAGTCACGAAAGCTTTACGTCAAAGTATGGAGTCCATTATTTACCTGGGTGAAGTTCAATAGTTATTCCAGAATTTGCTGCAGACCAAGGTAAATGGTGCAACACAGCTCTAAATATACTGGTAGTAACCTCTGGTTACACCAACCCACAGGGGATTATTGTGTCCGTCCGTCCGTCGTGCAGTGAGAGGCTGGGTGGGGAGGGGAGGGTGGGGAGGGGCTGGGTGGGGAGAATGGGGAGGGGCTGGGTGGGGAGGGTGGAGCTAGGTGGGGGGTGGGAGGGGTGGGGCTGGGTGGGGAGGGGCTGGTCACCCCGTGGTGCCCTTATAAAACTCAACGTTTAACCTACTCACGCCGGCTTGTGCCCGCCCTCACAGTCGGGCATATTTGTGGAATACACCACGCCGCCGTTGACCCTGGCCATTGACCGAGCAACCCAACGTTCCTACCAGCTCCCTCGGCAGGAATGTGTTTATGTCAACACACCTATTGTAAGGTTGCAGCATTCAACATCTGTGAAAATGTCCACCCTCGCTAATGCATCAGCTGACTGACTTACGGTTGCACCGCCGGTGGTCCGT